AATGTGTTAAGTTCTTGTGTACATTGCAAAATACAAGTGGATTTCTTGTGGCGCTAAAATTGGTACTGAAGAAAGATTTGGCCTTATGCCATAGTTGCATGAGCTTCACTTAAAATTTTGTAGTCATAGAAGGAAATGAGTATAATCTGGCTACAAAGTTGACCTCTGTAACCATTATTGGTATATGGGGAATATGTTCAAATTTGTACCTTGGTGGTCTGTATATTAAAATTTTCTTGGAGTTTTTCTGTGTGGCTAATTTCACATGTAATAAGTTTTAAATATTGCCAGATCATTTGTCTTCACACTATGATGACCTGTGAGATCATGGTAGTTGTCCACAAGGGCCTTATATACTGTATAGTTTTAGCTGTGAGTTGGTGTCATAATGTTGCAGATCTACAAAAAAGATTCCAAATGTTTGCATTTCTGCATCTTCCTGGAAATGATTGCATGGCCACTAGACTACATTCTTTAATATATATGTTTACTTCTATTATAGAACCCCATCAATTATAGTTGGGGCGCTATATTGTAATAGTAGACACATTTCTTTTGTTTCGGATTTTTTTCCGTTTGCTTGAAAGATACTCTATTCACATTGTTCTTCTTCTGCATGTTGCCATTAGCATCTTATTATTGTACTCCAGCTGCCTAGAGGGGCACGGCGCATTTCCTTATTTTTGTCCGTGTGCTAGTACTTTTTTCTACTTTGAATATGTTGGTACCATACTTGCTTATCGTCAGCTTTGTCATAGTGTGTTTAATGACTACATAATCATATACTCCCTCCGGTCCTTTTTACTCCGCGTATTAGATTTGTGTGAAGTCAAGCTTTGTAATGTCTGACCAAATTTATCTATACTACTATATAGTGTACCAGTTGCAAACTTTTAAACTTGATGGCCAGGAATCCACCTTAGCCGTTGATAAAGTCCATCCAATGGTTAAAAATGTTGGGATTCGCATCTACACTACACGCTACAGTACCAGCGAACATACTGTTGTATTCCAGAACCATCGACAGACCCATGCGGCCATGCAGGAAAAGTTCACCTGCTTACTGTTGCTCAGTAGTCCATCCGTGTGCATAGCTGGCCGGGCCAACCGTACGTCTCATGGCACACGCACATCCAGACCGTGAGGGCCGGCAGCGCGCGTGATAATAGCGTTGGCAGGGAGGTTAGGTCTTTTGAGTGTTTTTAATGGAGGAATGGAGGCGATCTGTAGTGCAAGATATGGATCCAGGGAATGGCGTGAGAAGTAGCCAACAGACAAAGGTGGTTGGAAGATTTCATGGCGTGATTATAGGGAGCTTTTCTATGTATAAAATAAGGAGATAATTTTTTTTTGAGAAAAATATTGTTTTTTTGTTATGATTTAGGGAAAAATATTGAACGGATGTGAAAATAAGAAAACAAAAACTTTACTGTATATGGCAAGAAAATTTCATACGGAAAACCGATTCGTGCAATAATATATGTTTCTAATATATCCGAGTTTATATATGGAGGACTTAGCTAGACGGTCCATTGTGGATTGTGTAGAGAAATATAGTGGAACAGACAATTTTGAAAATTGATATGTCCAGAATCAGTTTATGCATACCTGTTTATGAATCGTTCTTTTAATTCAAAATTGACATTTTAAAATATAAATTATAGTCTGAGAATAATTCCAGTTACATCATAGTAATTCATGGATATTACATCATGTAACCAACTTTTATGTCGTTTCCACAAACAACATGTATCATTAAGTTAGAGTAAATGGACGAGTTATCGGATTGCTTTATTGCTTGCCATATGGGAGATTATATAATTTTGCAACATTGTGATAATCAACAATAAAGTTTTGAAATTTGCTAAAATTTAAATTTGAGATGAGGCTGATTCTAAGCATGCAAAGCATGTGCTACTTACTAGTATATTAAAAAATATCAAAATCTACAATATCAAAAATATATACTACTCCCTCCGTTCCCAAATATAAGGTGTATTATTTTTTCAAAAAGTCAAACTTCTCTAAGTTTGACCAAGTTTTTAGACAAAAATATCAGTGTCTTGAATACCAAATCATTGTTACTAGCTTCACCATGAAATATATTTTGATATTTTACATGTTCAATATTGTAAATCCTTATAGATTTTGCTATAAAGTTGGTCAAACATAGACAATGTTTGACTTTCTGAAAAACTAATACACCTTACATTAAGGAACGGAGGGAGTATGACACTACATTTCATATGAATCTAACAATATTGATTTGGCATCATGAATGTTGATAGTTTTTTCTATAAGTTTGGTCAAAGTAGAGATACTTTGACTTCGGACAAAACTTATATGCAGACTAAAAAGGACCGGAGGGAGGGAGTACATATATATAGAATACATCAGAACTTTAGTTCATTTTGTCTTCTGAATGTTGTTACACTACTGTAAACCCTAGACTGTATGTTAAAAATAAGATTGTTAGTTCAGACTGCCTTGTAGTATAATCGAAGTATGATCTTGTCATCTAGTATTTGTACTCGATTGCACATCCTTTATTGTGTACTGCTAAGGCATATATCATAGTTAACTGTTGGCTCTTATCACTTATCAGGATTGTTCACGGCTGTAACTACAGATGTTGATCTAATGGGCCATCTTCAATAGGTACGAGAAGTTAGCTGATCTTATAAGACGCTGGCCAGACACTGATTCATGAGTAATAGCTGGGTAACTTCAGTTTACCTGCGTGCCCATAGAATCCGTCACCAGGAAGAGTCTGAAATGATGCTTAATTGATAGTATGTGACTTCTTCACCTATCGTATCATAGGTTCAAGATGGGTGGACATTGAATATACCGAATGTGCATGTGGGAAATGCTTGGCAAGAATGATTATCCCTGGTTGCTAATTTCCCCCAAGTGAGAACCTCAATCATGTATGGATTCTTAGGGGGGGCTTCATATCATACTTTAATGTACTTGCGCTTGAAACAGGCTCTAATCTGTTATTGTGCTTATATTTGAAGTTCTGTATGTCTAGGATCTCTGTTTGCATTTATAGTTTAGTTAGAAAAAAAAATGCCAGAAAATTACGTTTTATTGCTGACATGAGAGTTGCTGTTGAGTGAGATGGGCTGCCCAGTTTTAGCCCCTTTGGCTACAGATCTATGGTCTGACATGGCGGATGGTAATAAGGTCCGATGAGCTTCCAGAGCATGTTGTTGCGGACTAGCTGTGTAGCCATTTCAGTTCATCTGGTCCAAACAAACTTTCCTGTCTGCTTCTGCATTGAAGTCTTGAGTGACAGTAACTCAGGCCAGTGTTTTCTGCATGGATGGAATCCAGTTTGTATGTAGAGAAATGATTGCTCAGCGTTGTGTTGTGGTAGACCCGTTGTTAATCTGACGTGTTGAAGGTCTAGCATTCTTTTTGTGAAAATCAGCAGAACCTGCGGATTGAATTTGTATGGGTTTTAAATCGGTAGACAACCAATGCTTCATGATTGCAAAACCTGCTTGGATCGATAACATGCCCGCAAGGACACACCCTGTCACTATCTGAATTTAACAGGAAGTTGGTGTCCACCTTTTAAAAAGGGAAATTAGGTTTGTTCCTGAATACAGCTGTTTAGTTAGATGCAGAAGCCGGTTTCTTTTAAGGGCCAGACAATTCTTTGATAAGTTGGTACTGTATCCAGAAGAGGAATATCATCAAGGGGAATACTATTGTTTTGTGTTTAGTGTAGGTGAACCATCGGCGTAGCAATTTTGTTGTTAAATAGTATGGGCATAACCAAAGTGCAGGCATGCAAGTTCTCTATATCTTCAGATGGAGTTTGTGTAATCTCCATGAGTTGTAACTCCAATTCCAAGCAGTGTGTTCGCCCCTGTTAACCATGGTTGGTAGATATAGCCGAGTATCCAGTCCTACTTTTTCGTTTTGCTGAGTGTTGTTGTTAATGATTGTTAGGCGTTAAAGCCAGTGCCTGAAATGGTTTGACTCGAGGCATGCCTTTCTGCTCTGTTTGTTGCATGATGCTTGTTGGGTATTCTATATGAATTCCCCGCATAAAAAAAAGAGGGGTATTCTATATGTATAGTACTAGTATCGTTGGCATTACTGAAGATCCATTCAATAATTATTAGGAGCCAGTCAACACTACAAATTGATACAACCTGGTATGAGTCACCGTCTTCCAAGTCGTGGGCTGCCAAGCATGTTCACAAGATAATGTCCCTGATTTACTTAACTTCATGTGTCTTTTTATATATACTAGTCCCTCCGTAAACTAATATGAAAGCGTTTAGAATACTAAAGTAGCGATCTAAACGTGCTTATATTAGTTTACGGAGGGGGTACTTGTTAGGTTAGCCTTAAAAACTTATTAGGTCTGTGCAACAAGATGTTGCGCAGCATTACTCCACTCTCATTTGAGAGTGCGAATACAAGGAGGTATTTTGTGTCTGGGAAACTCGAAAGAAAAAAAGATTTTGAATCTGCTTTTTCCCTCGTTCCCTTGAAGGAATAACTTAAACAAAATCTAATTATGTACTCTACAAGAATGAAATGCTTGTTAGGCAGAGCGGCGCCCGGCCCGGCCTGCTTTGTATTCAAGATTAGGCAAATATAGTTCTAGCTTGTAGTGGTGTTAGCTTAATTTGTGCTAACCCAGCACTCTAGCGGGCCTAAGCATCACCAGGGCCACACCGCATCTCTGTCGTCTTTAGGTTTTCGTTTTGTTTAGGTAAATGTCGTTGTTATTAATTGGATGGTCGATCATGATTGCACTTGCAGAACACCTGCTTTGATATCTTCCCAAGTGGCCGGCTTCCATTATCTCAGCTTTGGATGGTGGTGGTGGGCATGTACGCAATGCAGTGACAGGATATGGAGGGCAATGCGGAGGAGGCTAGCAGCCGTGCTCGGTTGGTTGTTGGGTGGTCTATTGTGAAGTGAAGCGGACTGGAGAGGAGAGGAGAGGAGGATACCTGACCTAATGTAATGTAATGTGGGGGTGGTTCATTAGAATCTTGCCTACTCGCGGGCGGGGTCCCGGGTCTCCTACTCCCCCTGTTCCGAAGATTTGCGCGTGTCGGATTATTATGGCTTTAGCAAGGGACGACGGACGATCACGGAGGTTTTCGCCGGTGGAGGCTACCCTGATAGGATTACATACAGGGGGTTGGTTGGAGTTGCCCAGGGGCAGAGGGGGAGGATCATCTTATCTCCTGTCTCAATGGGGGCCATAAGATTTTCCATTCGTCCGTGCACACCTTCTTTCAACCTCTACTTCTTCCTTTTCTCACTACAGAAACATGGTGCGTTATGGAATTGATTCTAGTACATACTAGCATGGCCATGGTTTTACGTGGTCGCTTTTCGCGTCACTGTACTATATATCTTGTTTCTGTTTTGATGAGTCTTGTGGCCTGCCTGTAGTAGGATGGTAAGGTAAAAGTCTGGGTCAAACGAGTCGCGTTACCTGGTAGGTTAGTGAAAGGTGATTGCAACAGTGACGGAAGAGACTACTCTAGTGGTAGATGGTTGTATTATCCGGGCGTGGTGGCTGTTGCTTGACGCGCATTCGCCATCGAGCGTTTCCTTTTCTCTGCGAAGTCGACGGCCATGAGGAAGGCGGGGTCGTTCTCATCTTTTATCATCCATCGGTGCGCACGACTTACATGGCAACACAAAGGTCACGTCCACTCTCTTTCTCTCTCTCTCTCTCACACATCGAAGGTCCTGTTGCCAATCGCAAAGAAAAGAAAAAGAAACTTAACAGTACTGCTATTTTGGTCGCTGGATTTGGTCTAGCGTCGCAATTAGTTAGTGGCCACTGCACGTACGTGCGTAGCAGAATGAACGAACGAACGAACGATCGACGACGCCAGCCAGCCGTGGCTCTCACGCAGCGTAGGAACCGGGAAGAATCAAGTGTGTATAGTCAGTCCAAGGCCTGAAAAGGTGGAGCCGACGGATCGAGCGCGCCACTTTCGTTGCAACCACTTTCCTTGTAGTAACGACCACCGCCATGTAGACGGTCGGTGCTGCGTCGAGTCGATCCCAAGACAGACAGAACCGCGTGATGGACTGCAGTAGGACGCGACGCCGCCTACCGTGTGGAAGAAAATTGGGTAAGCAACCTGCACATGGCGGCGAAGCTTCCTTGGCTCTCGATCCAGCCCAGGCTTTCCCGATGTGTGTAGGCGGGCAGCCGGTAGGTACGTACTCGTACCCTTTCGGCACCACCCCCCGCCACGCCACCCACACTGGCCGTGCTATTTTTGCCCAGGGAGGAGTAAATTGTGTCCTAAAGCCATGTGGCCGGAGACAAAGAAGTTAATTAAAACCCGTTGTGAAGAGACTTTGGACTCCATCTGTTGGTTGGGACGCATGTGTCCCACCGTTGTTCCAATGCGCGTATCCGTGGAAGAAGCTGCGGCACGTGCTTCGCCCGCATGGCTCGCACTTGGCTCAGCCCAGGATGGGTGCCAGTCGTATTGTACTTGATTAATCATCCACGTACACTTCCTCTCTCCCCAGCCCTTCCACCCGTTTTAATTTAGTCTGCATATTTAGCTTCGATGGGTGTACATGTCGGTATATTTTTCTACAAACTTAAAAGAAAACGGAGCGAGTTGTACTTGTACAGAGTCCATGGTCGGTGCCAGCTGTTGCTTGTTGTGTGTCCATGCATGCGGCAGTGCCGTACGCTGTCCTCCGCACATGGCGCGAAGCCAGGCGGAGCCGGTCTTCTGACCGACCGAGGACCGCCTGCCAGGCCGGGCCCGGTACGCGCTGCGTGCCTGTCGGCCGGCCAGACCAACGCAACGGCTTTCCTCAGACAACGGGGCGCTCCACGTGACGCGCCATTCCTCTGCTTCTGGCTGTAGCCGGGGCCCTCCTATGCCTCTGCTGCCACCGAGATACCGAATGGACAGGCGCACACGCCGTTGGTGCCCTCGTCTTGTGCTGTGGTCAATTGGTCATGCACATTGATGTGTAAAAACGTGTGTGCTCTTTCAATAAAAAATATTGAGTATATAAAAATTTAGCGTAAATTCAACAAAATCTACGCGTACAGTGATTCAGACCACAGCCCCAGAACCTACAAAGAAATTTCTGTACAACTAAAGACTACAACCAAATTTCTCATAAACATCTTCTCTATGATGTCATTTTTTCTGCAACACAAAATATTGTCTGGACTTTCATAAAGAGAATGCGATCAAACCGAAGCACCGACATTTTCACTCATACTCATACACCCGCACGAAATAAATTTTAGAAACTCCGTCGAGTCGCCTATTCAAAAGGATAGAATGTCGTGATTGTTGAACGTACTTCGGCCGGGGAAGATCCAATAGAGACACAAGTCGCCGAACAACAATATCTTCACGAAATGCCAAAGGGCTTCCAAGTCACAACAAATCGCACTAGAAAACACCAACACATATTCGTCGTATCCATATTTGAGTTTTGCTCAACTAAAAGCCGTGAAATGTTGTACTATATCGTAGCATTTTTCCTCACAGCAAAACGTACTAGAATTAAGATGTATGTTGATGCATATCGTGGCTATTCTATATCATTGGTGCATCGGTTCATCTGAGCTAAATTTCTTTTTCTCTGCTATTATACTATATCGTGTTGTCTATACTCTACCACTTCGTTCAAAACCTCGAGTGATGGAGAATGTTGGGTCACATTCACCACATACTATGGTGAATTTGGTTTTGCATGTTGCAGAGATATTGTTTCAAACACCCATAGCCCGAAACAAAAACCCGATAAATTCCCCTTGAAATATACATGCTCGTCGGCATGGAAGTTCAAATGTTAATTTGTGTGATTCCTTATATAAAAAACCAAACCTAATCGTTGACTAAGTGTAAATCATCCTTGAGGGCTTCTTAAATTCTAAGAATTCTAAAATCACAATAGTAGAAAAAGAACTATGATTGTGACCCAAGTTATCTTGAATCCCTTTTCTTGTTGGCCATGAAGTTTATTGAATCCGACAATATTGAAACGATGTTTCATTTCTTTAAGTAAAATCATTGGTACATTTTTAATACGCCGGAGGCCCTAAAATTGTAATTTGTTAGTGCAAAATAAATGTTTTTTTTGTATCATGTAAGTTCACAAAATAGAAGGGTCCAAATATCAAAGTTTCTAAGGATTACAAACTTTCTAAAATTACTCCAGGTTCATAGAGGCCACAAGAGAGTTGTTGTCCTGGCCTTTATTGGTCGGGGTTGGCGACGACGATCTTGTGTCATTATCTTGTTCAACCCGTTGTCAATTTGTTGTGGTGCTGGTCTTCACTGGCCGGTTAGCAAGCAATCAAGATGAAAATCCTTGTCCAGACCATCTTCGGCCGGACATGGCGACGATGGCATGAGGACAGTTATTCTTTCTTGAAGGCGTTGCCGTAGAGGAAGTCGACTTAGTATTAGGTGTTTCTTTCATACTCCCTCCGTCCGAAAATACTTGTCATCAAAATGGACAAAAAGGATGCATCTAAAACTAAAATACATCTAGATACATCTTTTTTATTTATTTTGATGACAAGTATTTCGGGACGGAGGGAGTATCTTGTAACATTTTTTATCATGGTTCACTTTGTTTTGTACTCTACTTAACAATTAGGTGTTTCAATCTCCTTTTTTAAAAAAAAATCTGCTTTGTATGGCACTGCCTCCATGATTTAAACATGATCGCCTCACACAATCTCTGCCCCACACAAACATGATAAAAAATAAAATTAAAGGCAATGACCCACCAAAGAACCATGACGCCATTTGATTTATTTTATTTCGGAAATCACGACTCAATTCGGAGAGCCCGATTTATTCACGCCACTGGAGCGGCCACCCCAGTCTTTCAACCAGACACCGCCCCTCTTCTTGCTCTCTGCTCTCCTCTCCTCTCCTCTTCTCTCCTCTCCCACACGCGTCCTAAAGCAAGCAAGCTCGGACGCCATGAGCAAGGACTGCGGCAACCACGGCGAGGACGACATCCGGCGCACGTGCCGGCGCTTCCTGGCCTTCCTCTTCTTCCTGGCCCTGGTGGTGGCCGTCATCGCCCTCATCGTCTACCTCGTCCTCCGCCCCACGCACCCGCGCTTCTACCTCCAGGACGCCTCGCTCCGGCAGCTGGACGTGCTCACCGCCAACGCCTCCGCCGCGGCGGGCGTGCTCTCCACCGTGCTCCAGGTCACCGTCGCCTCCCGCAACCCCAACGACCGCGTCGGCGTCTACTACGACCGCCTCGACGTCTACGCCTCCTACAAGTACCAGCAGATCACGCTGGCCTCCGCGCTCCCGCCGGTGTACCAGGGCCACGGCGACGTCGAGGTGTGGTCCCCGGTGCTCTCCGGCCCGAACGTCCCCTTCGCGCCCTACCTCGCCGACGCGCTCGCCAAGGACGTCCAGGCCAGGTACCTCATCCTCCAGGTGAAGATCGACGGCCGCGTCCGGTGGAAGGTGGGCAGCTGGATCTCCGGCCACTACCACATCTTCGTGACCTGCCCCGCCTTCCTCATCGGCACCGGCGGCAACGGCGCGCCCGGGGCCAACGGGCTCAGGTTCCAGACCGCCACCTACTGCCACGTCGAGGTCTAGCCGTCCGTCCGTACGTGCTCTGCTTCCTCTTCTTCTTCGTCATCTTCCTCTGCTCCGTCGGCGGCGGCGAGGTAGGTTTCTTGCGGGTGGCGCGCGCGCGTGCGCGTAGCCAAGAAGATCATCAAGGCTGAAGGCCAAGGGGGTGGTACATGGTGGTAATAAGTGTTAGCGTCGAGGGGTATAGGTGTAAAAAGGAAAAGAGAATTTAGTGTTGGTTACTCCTACTAAATTGTGTTTTGCTCGTTTTTAATTGTTGGTAAGGTATTTATTCCACGTTTAATTGTCGATATATATAAACCTGTTGTTACGACGGAATTAAAGTGAAATGGTTAATGCTGGGGTTACAAGTAGTACTAGTAGTGGTTTTGTTTTTGTTGCAGTTTGAGTTGAGAGAGCTTTTTGTTGTGGTTCAGCGACAATGTCAGAGATTTTGTTGGAAGGGTGCTAGCTTAGCTAGGTTGGTAGCAACAACCAGATAGTATCGTTGCGTTGATGATGATGAGCTTTATGGTAGGTTGCAAGTCCAACTCATGCCCTGGGATTTGGTGAATGAGTAGGTACGGATTGGACTTAGGAGTTCAGGATCATCTCCTCTCTCTCTCTCTCTTCTCTCTCTCTCATCA